TATATATGAGTATATATATAATATATATATAATATATATGAGTATAGAGAAGAGTGTATATATATATGAGTATATATAATATATAATATATATATGAATATAGAGACACACACACACACACACTCTTCTTAATATTAAAAGAATTTTAATCTTTACAAATAAATTTACAATTTACTTCTTTTTCAGACATAATATTCAAACTTTAGGTAATTAATTACTATTTAGAATTAAAAGAATTTTGAAATAAATTTATATAAACAAATGATTAGTATCAACTAATCATAAAAATATTGGTATTTTATTTATGATCAGGAGTTATTGGTTCATCCTTTAGGATATTAATTCAAATAGAATTAAATAGACCAGGAATTAATAATGGTCAAATTTAGTACAAATCATGCATTTTTAATAATTTTTTTTATATCTTCTATAATTGGAGAATTTGGAAATTTTTTTAATTCCATTAATATTAGGATAGATATGGCATTTCCACGAATAAATAATATTAGTTTTTGATTATTACCGTCATTATTATTACTATTATTAAATAACCTGTTGTTTTCTAATTCAGGAACTGGATGAACTGCATATCCTCCTCTATCATTATATTTATATCATTCATCCCCATCCCTGTAGACTTTACTATTTTTCTCTATTCATATAACTGGAATTTCAATCAATTTTAGGATCATTAAATTTTCATTGTGACAGTTTTTACAATGAAAAAAATTTTCACTAAATTATGATCGAATTAATTTATTTTCAATTTACTGTAATTTTACGAATTCTGAGAGGAAAGAGAAAGAAACACGCACGACGAAGAATTTGGTCAATTCACGGAGGGAACCGGTTCGTCCTGAATATCTTCGCCGAATCGATTTATCGATATTTCCAAGTAGATTCGTAGAGTCGAGCTACGTCATCGAATTGTTGCCATTTTTAGATCGAACCGACGAATCAGTCAGATTCTGTTGTTCTCGAAATTTCTCGAAAATAGACGATGCAATGTGACTGGAATATTCTCGAGCGCGGTCCGGCACACCTCTGGTAACTTTCACCTTTGGTTTCTCATAAGTTCGCTTCTGGAAATTGCCGATATCGCGCGGCTGCGTTTCGCCAGATGATCTGAATCTCGTTTAGCCATAATCCGGTAACGTAAACTTACAGTAGTTTCCCCTAAGCTTCTAAAACGTACGGAAACTATTCTTGGACATTTATCAACTGCCTCTGCTGCATTATACAACATTATTCATTAGTCGTGGAAACGTGA